TCTCTCTCTCTCTCTCTCATACTAGAGTCAAATCCAAGGCCTCATACATACTAGGCAAGAACTCTATCATTGAATTATACTCTCAGACCTTAAAAAAAAAAAAAAAAATTGGCAGGGATGTGTGGTTGACCCCAGGGCCTTCACACTGAGCTACAGCTCTAGCCCATATTTAATTGTGAATTTTTGGGGGTGCTGGAAATTGAACTCAGGACGTTGCACTCCTAGACAGGCACTGTGCCACTGATCTACATCCCCGGCCAATTTTTAAAATTTTGAGACACGTGCTTGCTAAGTTGTTCCTACTAGCTTCAAACTTTCAGTTCTCCTGTCTCAGCCTCCCACAGTCCTCAGGAAAAAGGCATGTGCCACCATAACCAGGTTGGAGGGAAGACAGTTTTCTTAAAGATTTCTTTATGGGGGAGGGATGTGGTGGATCGGAAAATATTTTTGATGTACAAGTGGTTTTATTTTCTTCAATCCAAAAACGTCACTATATTTATTAATTTATCCTTTCCTCTTATTTATCCTGTTTGTTTGTATTTTGAGCCAGGGTGTTGCTAAATAGTTCAGACTGGCTTTGACTCTAAGCCTCAGCATCTGGAGATTACAGGTATGTATTTGACCATCGTCTTGTCCTATTTAAATTCAAATAAGTTATCTTCCTATTTCATTTCCCACTAGCAGTGTGTAAATATGTCTGTTAGGCCTATGAAGGTATCAGGAGATACCTGATATGTGTGTTTATACTATTAATAAAACCTCTCCATTGTTAGCGCATTGATTATTTGGGTATTTCACAATGAAAGCCAGAATCCCTGTGCTGGGCATGGTGGCACACGCCTGTAAGCCCAGCCCTCAGGAGACTGAGCAGGAGGATCCTTGTGAATTCAAGACCAGCCTTGGCTATGAAGTGAGCTCAGGGCCAGTCTGAGCTGCACAGTGAGACCCTGTCTCAAAGAGACCAAAAACAACAGCAAATCTCACTGGAGTCCTACCTAAGAGGATCTTCGATGACACCACCCACAGGGGTCAGAAGCCTACAGAGAAAGCACCTGGTGGCCCAGAACAAGGTGACAAAGGCAGATTTATTATTGTGTGTCTGATGAAGTGGGCTCCTCATCATCAACAGGCTGGAGACCTGGGGCTTTCTTTTTTCTTTCTTTCTTTTTTTTTTTGTGGTACTGGGGATTGAACTCATGACCCTGTGCTTGCCAGGCAAGCACTTATTCTATTGAGCCATCTCCCCTGTCCTCGCCCGGAGAGGCCCAGGTGGCTGGGCTTCCGGCGTGGAGCCAATGGCACAGTCACTGCGCCCTGCGGTGGGGGTGGGGCAGCCCACACTCAGGACCTCAGCGAGGACTTGGGCATCTGAGAAGTTGAAGCTTTATTAGGGAAAACAGCCTACACCTCACACCTCATTCCGTCAGGGGGACCTTTTAGAATATGAAAAAGAAACTAGAATTTAGCAGTCTGACAGGATATGCTTGCTAACCACAAATTCAGACTTAAGAGTTTAGTGACAGAGATTCTTCTTTCAGTTTTTGCAGAGCTTTCCAACGTCACCTCCTACTGCTGACTCTAGTACTTTCCAAAAAAAAAAGAAAGAAAAAAGTTACAAAGTGAATTTTGTGTCCAAGGTGGCTGCACACCATTAGCAGTTTTTCTCCAAATTCATCTCCCACATTCTTAAGCACAGTGGGTCTTTCTTTGCCAGTATAGCAGGCGAAAAGCCCAGAATAGCATTGTTTTAATATCCATTCCTTAGATAACCAGTGAGTTTAAAAAAAAAAAAAAAAAAAAAAAAAAAAAAAGCTACATATAGTTTTTCTCAGCTGTTTGCAATTCTCTGGCAAATTGCCTTTAATTTTTTTTTTTTTTTTTTTTAACTTTAGAAATCAGGGTATTGGGATTTTTCTTATTACTTGAGGGATTCTTTAAATGCTAAAATATTAACCTTTCATTGCACATACTGCATTGTTTTCTCTTTTTGTGCAGTTTTTCTTATACTGCTCTGCAGAAGTTTCTAGTGATTAAGTAGCTGCACCTATCAATGTTTAACTTTATGGAGTCTGTCATACTTGGGAAATTTTTCTCTAACCACAAACCAGTTTTTTTAAAAAAAAATTAGTAATTTATGTTTCCATTTGCTTAATGTTTGAATCTAATCAGTCAGAAATGTATTTTGTGTACTCTATATAATGAGAACTAGTAATGTTTTCCACCTAAAATTGCTGATTTATTGTCCCAGTGACACTTAGGAATAAATAATCCATGCATGGCAAATAGTGGCCCAAGCAAAGTCATCCTTCCCATCCAGGGCTCTTTTCAGACATTTCCAATGAAGAGCAGAATTCCTGGCTAAACTGGCCTCATCCTTACTCTCCTACTGGAACTTCTTCAGCATCGTGGCCAACCTGAACTACCGAGTAAGACCCTGTCTCAAAGAAACAAAAACACAAAAGGAAATCTAAAGACAAAGATCTGGGAGTTAGCATCGCGTAGGTTCTAGGCAAAGTCTTGGGACAGATGACGGCCACACTGGAGAGTAGGCCAAAGACAGACCCGGGTCAGGCCAGCCTCACTGCGGAGTCAGATGAAACTGGGGTTGGGGGGAATCACAGGGATGAGCCAGGCGTGGTGGCACATGACTGTAATCTCAGCACTCCGGGCTGAGGCAAGGGGATCATTTTGAGTTTGAGACCAACCTGGGCTACAAAGTGAGTTCAAGGCCAGCCTGAACTGCATAGCGAGACCCCCCATCTCAAAAAAAAAAAAAAAAAAAAGAATGCAGTCATTATGGCAAATAGCATGTTCCACTTAAGAACCAATCCTTAGTCTTGTTGAGAGTGTGTGTGTGTGTGTGTGTGTGTGTTCTGGGCTGCCTATTCAATGAAAAACAAAAGCAGCTCTCATTCTGAAGCTAAGATTTAGCAAGTGGCCGCAGTGACTCATGCTGCCCGGCTGCGAGGGTCACAGGACTTCCGCCCCCAGTCGGGTGGGGCTTGTGTAGGAAGACTGAAAGGTAGAGAGGAATTCCAGCCGGCTTCCTACCCTGCCTCTGGGCAAGATGCCTTTTTGGGTCAATTTTTATAAAAATCAAGACTGAAAATGTAACTTGCCTCTCAGAGTCACAAATGTCCTGGACGTAAGCAAGTCATCTCGCCAAGGCACGGGGATGTTTGCGCCGGGTTCAGGGGGTAGGTGTTAGGCTAAAAGTGGAGTGTTGCGCAAACATGGCCTAGGAGCAGGTATGGGGGCCCAGCCTAGAGGAGCACATTGTGCGAACCTGGAACAGGCGGGGGCGGAGACTTCTGCTCTCAGCGCGCCCTCCAGGCACGGTAGCCGTTTGCCGCACGTGACTGTCAAAGACTTGAAAATGCACTTAGTCTCGACTGAGATGTAAAGCATAAACCAGGCATAGCGGCACATGCCTATGATCCGAGCGAACTCAGAAGGCTGAGGCAGGCAGATTACAAGTTTGAACCTAGCCTAGGCACTGTTATGAGACCCTGTCCCAAAAAGAAAAGAAAAGAAAAGAAAAGAAAAAAAAAAGACAATAAATAAATAAAATTATCGTCAGGTGGGATAATCCTTTCCTGTACCTCCTTTTTGGAGGGCAGATAAAAAATGATGATTGGAGCACCGCATGACACGTGATTAATGTGCTGCGTGGTCAGGACTTGCAACACCCTGACTGCTCCTGTCTGATTCTCCCTGAAAAAAAAAAAAATTAAATAAATAAATAAATAAAATTTACTGACTCCCAAAGATTTAGTGCAGAGGAAACAGCTCATCTGCTAAGCAGGGTGGCGCATGCCTGTTATCTCAGCACACAGAGGCTGAGGCCGGAGGATTGCCACAAGTTTGAAGCCAGCCTGGGATACATACCGAGTTCAAGACCAGCCTGGATGACACAGTGAGACTGTCATAAAAATAGTAAGTAAAATAAAATATGCCACTAATAGTTTATTAAATTTTAATATTGATCCATGTTAAAATTATTTATTTAGGTAGTAGGGACTGAATTTGGGACTTTGTGTTTCCCAGGGAGGCATTTATTCTGCTGAGCTATATCCTCAGCCCACCTTAGGTTAGTGTAGTTTTTTAAATTTGATTTTATTTATTTATTTATTTTTTTGGCAGAACTGAGGATTGAACTCAGGTCCTCATGCTTGCCAGAGAAGCACTTATTCCACTGAACCATTTCCCCGGCCCCAGTTTTTATTTTTATTTTTATTTTAACTTTTAGGAAGGTCAGGTGTGGTGGCACATGCCTATAATCCCAACACTGGGAAGCTGAAGCAGGAGAATCGTTGTGAATTCCAGACCAGCGTGGGCTAAAAAGTGAGCCCAAGGCCAATCTGAACTGCATGGCAAGATCCTGTCTAAAAAAGACAATAATAATTTTTTTTTCTTTGTGGAAGGGGGAATTGAAGTCAGGCCCTTGCGCTTGCCAGGGAAGCACTTATTCAATTGAGCCATCCTCCCAGCCCCTGAAAAAAAAAAATTTTTTTTTGAGACAGGGTCTCACTATATAGTTCTAGCTAGCTTTGAACTCACAATGTAGCCAGATTTGCCTCTAAATCACAGCAATCCTCCTGCTTCAGCCTCCTGAGTATAAATAATATTTAGATATATTGAATCAAATGAATTTTGTGGTTAAAATCAATTGTTTCTTCTTTCTTTCTCTCTCTCCCTCTCTTTCTTTCTTTTTCCAGTACTGGGGATAGAACCTAGAAGCTCAAACATGCCAGGCAAGTCCTCTCCCACTGAACTACAACCCCAATTCCTTTTACTTTTTAAAATATAGTTACTAGAAAATTTGAAATTGAGTGCATAACTACTATTGCAGTCTATTGGATGGTGCTGCACTAATCTCATCAACCACTGACTCTCTTCTCGGCCAGGGAGATGACTTAGTAGAATAAGCAAGGGCCTGAGTTTAATCCCTGGTTCCGCA